TCTTCTAAACACTTCTTCCTAGTGTTCCTTATGGGAGTGATGTTTCTCATCACTTCAGGCTTTGCAGATTATAATCAGCTTGAAGTTGCAGAACCACAATATATGGACCACCCACCAGCTGATAATGATAATGATATACCACCAATTGTAGCCTCTGTTGAAAATCCATCACTTCAAACTTATAAGCCTGAAGTCGCAGATGAACCACAATATATGGACCACCCACCAGCTGATAATGATAATGAAATACCGCCAATAGTAGCCTCTGTTGAAACTCCTGGAGGGCAATCTCGTTCCAATGCAAAATATGCGAAACCACCCATTCATGTTCTTCTTAAGAAACCACTTGTTTAATTACAAGCTGCAACATAATTATGCGTGGAGACGCCCTCAAGCTATCAGACCTAGAAAAATAAGAGGGTATGTCATAGGATTTTATGTATGTTGATCTTGCTATTTTGAAAATAAGCGAGTAATCGGTTGTATATTTTGGTGTTATACAAATAAGCAAATGTGTGAAGGCATTATTTATACGTCTCAACCTAATTATAGGCATTGCTGGTAGAACATTCTATAATCTTAAAATTAAATGCAATACGCTGAAAAATAACAATACATGATAGAGATTCAAAATCAAAACAAAATATATAGTTGCCTAAAAAATATTTTTGAATCTTCTCTAAGAATCTAAAAGTCCTTATTAACCGTTATCCCATATTCCATCATTTTAATTTGAATTGTGATGAAGTTATATGAATGACTCGGGGTTTTTGGAACAATTTATACACAATGAAGTTTGTTCTGCCTAGCCCTCCCCCCCCCCCCCAATTGATTATCTGATAAAGTCAAATTCAAGTACTGTCGAATCTAATTGAGGGTAGCTCTTCAAAAGACGTTTTCTTTATTCACGCGAACTCGAGACCTTATGCTTACGTATCAAAGCCCCTTCTATTAGGACTAACACCTGTTGTTTATTTTGCGTAGCTAATTGCATGAAAAATATGGGTTTTGACTTTTGAGTGCTCATGCAGATTTATGGTTTATGTGTTCATGTGTGTGTACATAGTACATACTGTTATAAATTGGATTGGTTGTACTGGATGTGGCATTAAGCGTAACTTTGAGATTCAAGTGGAATAGTGTGGGGGGGGGGGGGAACAAGTAAGAATTAAAATTCTACGACATATATAAAAGCACTCTACGTTCATGAGAGAAAAAGAGCGACAAAGATTACAAAGACAATCTCTGTTTTTTTTTTTGGTTAAAAAAACCACTTGAATTATTCAATGAAGATTTGTAATTGTACTGTTCGAGTGCTTTTACAATCAAGATTAATCAGCTTTTGGCTTCTAAATCAGATGGGTCAAAAGCTGATCTAGACGTGCCAAAAATTTTAAAACGTGGCTCCAAACATACCCGTAGTGTTCGGAAAGCCCCATAATCAATTAAAATAAGCTCTTTTATGTTTCGGCATGCATACACATGGTAATAACCTATCAAGGGTTAAGGTGCAAACCCATGCCGAATTCGCAAATGTACATTTGGAAGTTGGAGCCATAATGTTCTTTTGGATGTAAAAATTTAATGAAGATTTCAAAAGGGTGTGAAAATTATTTTATTAATGTTTAGGTCTAGTATTGTATCTACTATATCTTTTATTGTAAAGAAACTACAAATGGTATTTGTCATATTATAATATATTTAGAATTTTGTCTTCCAAATATTGTATATTGTAATAACCTATAAAAAATATCTAGTTATTCATATTCTGTTTTGGGACCAATCAAGTCATTTTCATTCAGCAAGTCCCAGATGGAAAGCACTATATATATACACTACCAACCATATATTTGCATGAAGAATAAGAAAAGTATTACTTCACAAAATATGTTAGATATAATATATATATATATATATATAAAATCTAAATTAATGATCAAGTCTTCCAAATAGTACAACCAAATTAAGAAAAATAAGTGTTCATGCAGCCGTACAAATATAGCGGCAGAGTACATTGCCAGCCTGGACTCAATTTTTTTAATCATTATTTCATTTATTAAATGCATTTTTATAATAAAATATAATATATTAAAATATAATGGAAGCACACAAGATGCCCACCCCAATTGGCCACACGAGTTGCTCTATAAATTATATTGGAGCTCATAGTCTATGATTTGCACTCACAGCAAAAGTTTAGCTCAACAATGTCCTCCAAACACTTCTTTCCAGTGCTCCTTTTTGGAGCGGTGTTTCTCATCGCTTCATTTGAAAATTCGGAGGCTTATCACCGCCGGCCACCACCAGCTGCTAATAACAACCATCCTCCGGCCGATAACGATAACATCCCAACATTAGACTCATCCTCTGCTGAAATTCCGATCATTGATGAGCAATCTCACGACGACAAAGCAAAATATGAGGGACCATCGATTCATGACCTAGTCAAGAAACCACTTGTTTACAAGCCTCACTTTTGAAACCTACCTACTTTTGAGTGGAGAAACTGCCAAGCTATCAGCCCGTACATACAAAAATAAGGTAGTGTCATAAGATTTTACATGTATATATAGTTTGGTATTATAAGTGAGTATCATGAATAATAATTAAATGTATTAATTTTAATATGTGTGTGTGTGTTTTTTTTAGAGCATGTTTGGTATGTCAATGGAAGTGGGATATTAATTTTAATAAATATGTGTATTTTATTATAAGACCAAAATACCATTATTTTTTTGAGAAAATAAAGCACAATCCCATGGATTGAAGCTGAACCAGATCCCAGGACAACCATCCCTTGCCCATGTGACCACCGTCCACCACCGTGCATCGAAGTTGTCCCACAACAACACAATCAAATCACCCAAAAACCATCGTTCCTTTTCCTTCTCCTCCTCTAGCTAACTATAAATCTCCAATACACCAATTTTTTTGGGGTTTCGATTTAAGCTTCTTCCAATCGCAAACAATGATAAAAGGAAAACCAATTCTTCCAATCGCAATCAAAGTTAGATTTCATTCACTTCAACTACTTTCAAATACAATGTTTAAAGAAAAATTGAAGCAATCAGCGTAACGGAACCTGCCGAAAATGAAGAAGACAGAATCAAATCTTGAATGGCGCGTGAATCGTAGAGCATAAATCCAGCAATCTGAGGTCTTCGTCGTCCTGCCGCAATCGATGAAGACACAAACAAGAGGTCATCTCAGAAGAGATCGAGAACTTGGAGATCCGTCCTCCTCCGTCGCATTCGCCGTCTTCCGTCTCTTTGCGTTCACCGTTGTCATGCTCAATCGTCCTTGGTGTTTCAATGGAGAGAGGGTGAAGGGGTAAAATGGTCACAGAAGTGAGTTCCATGGAACTGGAACCCAGTTCTTATGGGGGAGCAAGGAAGTGGCAGCTATCATAGTTGATGGAACTGACATTTCCATGGAACTGGCTTCCCTCTTACCAAACCATCCAATTTTTCACTTCCTGTCCCAATTCCAGTTCCAAGCCTTCAATGCTACCAAATGGAGCATCAGAGTGTTGAATGATTTATGCTTCTTTTCTTTGACGATGCTTTGGGGAAGAAATGATAATTGAATAATTGAACCAGTAAGAATCTAATATTGGGAAGCAATATCTACAATTTTTTGTTTCGAAGACAATGGTTCGTCGCTTCTCCCACCGTTCCTTGCCGTCAGAGTTGCCGTTGTCAATGCAGCATTTTGATTCTTTTGGCATGCTTTGATTCTGAGTTTTCCAGCTTCACTGTGCCATCTTTCCCACTTGCTTTGTTCGACTTTTGGTGGTTAGAAGGATTGGAGTTCGTCTTTTCTTACTCTTGTTTGACTGTTGATGTGATCTTTATCTTCCTCTCCTTTAGACTCTTAGTTTACTGCTGTCGGTGATGGAGATAAGTTAGTCCTCCGCATTTTATTTCTCTGTTTTGGATTTAATGTTCGTATTTGTGCTGGGCTGTGAAATTTTTGGTTTGTTGTGGCTGTTATGAAGTTTATTAAGACTGGAACAGTGGATTAATATGCTTGGTCATCTTGTTGGATATTTACTTCATATATGGTGTTTGTAAAAATGTTTAGGAGAAAGTTTGCTTAGAAGTCATGCTTTGTCTATTGAGTCAAGATGCTTGTTCGGTGGATGAGTTTGAATGATTACATGATCTTTGATGGATTGAATGATGATAATGGTGAATTGTGGGTTGTAACGTGAGTAGTTTGAAGATTATTCTTGCAATGTTGATGGTATCCAAGTAACGGGAGAATTGAAGTTCAACATGAAACATTTGATTTGTCATTTAAGGACCAAGTTAAATTCCTCTCATGTCCTTTGGGTTTAAATTGATAAGGATGTTGTGTTGAAAATGGCACCCAATACGGTAAATCTTGTGAGATAAATTAAAAGTGTAATGTCCATCCTATAAGAGCTATTAGAATTTGGGAGTCAAAATAGCAAGGAACATAAAACCGGACCGGGTATTAAACTGGTCGAAACAGTGGGTCAAGGGTCAATGGGTCAGATCAGGGTTAAACCGAGTTAAACTGATATTTATATTTTCAGTTACGGTTCGGTTTTGCTCACCCCTAGAGAGAATAACACCGAACCGAACACCGAACACCAAAGGAGGGAGTGGAGAGGTTAGGCTTCAAAGTTCAGGAGTTGTTCTCTCTAGGGGTGAGCAAAACCGAATCGTAACCGAAAACTGAACCAAACCGAATTTAATTCGGTTTTTTTTTTTTTGGTTAATTTTTTCGATTATTTCGGTGTTCAGTGTTCAGTTCGGTGTCCATAAAAATTTTTTGGTTATAACCAAATAATTGAATATACTATTTTTTTTAAATTTTTTCTATCTTTCTTAATTTTAGAATATCACGGTCCAGTCATACCCAGACCCAATACTTGGTCTGCCTGACTCCTGAGCCCAAAGTTGAGCTCTAGCCCAGTGCCCTCTCTATTAGTTAGTACTCTCATCTCTCGGTCTCTCCCTCTCATAGACTGAAACACCCACTTGCCAAGCTCCTGCCCTAGATCCCGCCAGCCCAGCTCTTCCCTGCTACTAGTGTGCCCCTCAAGCTCTTGCCCTAGATCCCACCGGCCGCACGCGGCACGCCACAGCCTCTGACTTCACCCTCCTTCATCCTCCCCTTCTCAGTGGGAGAAGATCTGAAATCGCAGCATCGACCTCCCCTCCTCAGCAGGAGATGATCTAAAATCGACCATTGTTGCCTCTACCTCCTTCGTTCGTCCCTTCTCAGCTTCTCAGCTTCTCATTGTTCGTCTCTGAGAGCTTCAGGTTTGTGGGTTGTGGCTTCCGACATCCTCTCCTCCATCATCTTCTATTCAGACTTTGGCGACTCTGCTTTGTCTCTCAGTGTCTGTGCGCCTCCAAATCGGTCGATCATGGCCTCCCTCCTCAACTCCATTGCTCGGATTCTGAGCTTCATTGAAGCCTTCCGGCACATCTCCAGTCGAAAGGGGTAACTTCAAGTCCTCTTCCCTATCTTTCAACTCCACCGCTTCTGTTGCCCCTTCATTTGGTTTTCAACCATCGTCGCCTTCTTCTGAAGTACAAGGTATGTGGGTTGGTTCGTCCCTATTTTGCATCTTGCCATGCTACTATTGCTTGTTTACAGAGCTGAATTAAATATGGTTAGAATCATTTCTTTCCTTGCAGTGTTCTTAGCTAGATAGAATATTAACTAACTGATTGAGTTAATTGATTTGTCATGTAATTCAATTTTTTCTCTCTCCACAGAACCTGAAGCTAAACAACTAGATTCCTCGTAAATTTGATTTGGCATGTAAAAGCATCATTAAGAAAATTCAGCCCGAACCTTGTCCCTTTCTGTTGTTTTGCACTGCACTGCACAAATACCTCTCCGGTTAGAAAATGTAAATTAAAAAGAGAGATTGATTACAGATGGGAGTTATCTATTCATTATAAATTGTCCTCATTTAGTTTCTTATATAATTTGATTGATTATAGGTGTCTTCTCATGGTGAAATCATAGGTGATGCTCAAGTCGGGGATGATGGGGCTACTCAAACAACAAAGCCTTCAATGCCGGTTGCAAGTGGGACTACAAAAAGAAAAAGCATGAAGCCAAATTATATAAGAATTTGGGGATAAGGATTGTATGGAATTTGTTGTAATTTTGTTAGTTTGTTTGGATGTTAATTAAGTTTGGATTGATGCAGGAAAGATGAACTTAATTATTAGTAATATATGTCTGGAATTTAGAACTTTTGTTACACCTTTCAAATATTTAAATTCATTGTCCAAAAGAAGCCCAAAAAATTCATAATCTTACTATTTACCCTTTTTTTGGCATTCCAAATTAGTATGATACGTTTTATAAAAAAAGCCCAAAAAAGGGCCCACTAACTGAACAAGCCCACTAATCGAACCGAAAATATTTCGGTTATTTCGGTTCGATTAGTTCATTACATTCGGTTTCGGTTCGGTTTCAAAATTATGATATGTTCGGTTTTCGGTTATTTCGGTTATCTTCATTAACCGAACCGAATAACCGTTTGCTTAGGCCTAATTCTCTCAGTCTCTCCTCTCTCTCATTCAACTGAAGCACCGAAAGAGAAAAAGAAAAAAAAATATGCCGCAAATTTCGCTGTTTTTTTTAGCATGGGTATTTAAGTAATTTTTTTATAAAACTGAACAAAATAACTCTCCTCTAAACAAGACAAGGGTTAGAACCTATAACCTTTGGCCTCCTTAGCAACCTTTATTACCATATATCTCCAAGCTCGGTTCAATACTCAAGCTACAACAATTAATATAAGTATTGATTAATTTATTATGAAAATTTCAAGATTATTACACTTATGGAGTGCATAGTCACACCACTACTACAACAGAAACTTTTTACTTCTATTCTGAAGGGCTTTTTACCTCTATTTTTTTGGAGGGGGATATAAAAAGAAGGGACATAAATAAGTATTCACATTTCACTTCTATTTTGAACAGATGTGAAAAGTCGGACTTTTCTTGTCTATCCAAAAATAGGTGTGAAAAGGGCTACTTTTCATGTCTGTTTTTAGGAAAATAGAAGTAAAAAGTGGCTCCTTTCCCTTCTGTCTTCAGAAAAAGAGAAGTAAAAAAATGACATTTTCTTTACAAAAAAGAGGTTCTTTAAATCACTTCCAATCCAACAAAAAAATGTCCTATACTCAAAAGTCACTATATAAAGAAGATTTATACATAAAAGCATAATAAGTCAAATCACAACATATATATTAATTGTAGTGTTATATAAATACTCAAAAGTCACAATAATAATGTAACATGAAAGTATCTAATACAAGTAAAATCACAAGGCCATTAGAAAGGACTGATTGAGATCAAAGTGAGTATTGACAGTTATACTTATGGGAAGAATCCGTCGCTCTTCTTCAAAATCCATAGTTCACAACTTGTTCCTTTCAAATCCATAGCTTTTGTGGTTTTGAGATGTGAACTGCATGTGAAGGAAAGCACTATTTTAGAATTAGGAAAACAAATGAAGTTACACTAGTGCAAAATACAATTTAAAACTTCAACTTGAAAGTAATTTCAACTTATGGCCCGGAACACATAACGTACGGTTTCAATGCATGGCATAATTCATATGAGAAGGTTCAAGAATTAACAATAATCTCACTACCTTCACAGCTTGCATCTTGTGGCATCATAGTCAACTTGTTTGCCCAACCCAATAAGAGCTTGCAATTCATAGGCTCACTGCTGCAAACCCGTAGAGTATTGTGCTAACATTTCTTCAATCAACATTTGATACTGAGAGTCAACAAGGAGTTAATTAAATTTCAGCATCAACTTCCATAGAGAAACTTAAAATTACTTATACTAAAATAGTAATAAAACTGAAAATAATAACAACAACTAATTCTAATAATAAAATAATAAAATACTAACAAATCTAAATAAATCCTAAAAATCTAAATAATCTAAATATCCTAGATAATTCAAATATTCTAGAAATATAATAAACTCATAATTATTTTTTTTCCATGTCCCATTATTTCTCCCCTACTTGAAGAACTCGACTCCTGATAAGTTAAAATTGATGCACAAATATTGGGAGGGAAGGGAGGGGTAAAGAGCTTGGCATAATACTTCAATCTGGGACTACTTTCCAATGAGGAAGGTACCAAAAGAGGAACCATTGGCAACAATGAGCAACTGGATCTTGGATAGTATCTAGAAAACTTTTCCAATGTACAAGATACCGTTGGAGTGATTTGTTCAATAATAAGGCAATCTTAGGAGGTGTATGTTTCAAACGAGATGGCACTATAGAATAATGAAACTGATTCTTGCTGGCCACAATATGAGAAGAAACTACTTACACTTGTGCCAATCGAACAATCTGATCAGTATTTGAAATTTTTTTTACTGTTAACGATAACAAGATCAAGGGTCTTGCTCAATTGAATCACAGACATGTCCAGTGGTGCCTGTTGAGTACTATGAATGGGCTCTACATGAGTTGTAGGCACCACTTCACTTTTACAATATCTTCTTTCGTGTTTAATGAATGAGCTTTGATCCTTATTAGTTTAGTTACTTGGAGAGCCTTTTCCACTTGATTCTTTGAATTACTGATGAATTTCATAAGCTTATCAATTCCCTCATTAACTCGTTTTTCAAACTTACTGGGTGCATAGTTACATGATTATTTCCAGCAGTCAAGTTTAGCTTCAAGTTATTCTATTTGCACCTTGCAACCAAGTTGTCGTTACATGACATACTCATAACAGTAATGATATGTAGAATTAGCATAGTATTAGGCAATGTAATCATCACAATCAACATAGTCATATTGCACCTGGTTGACATACCGGTAAGTGTGAGTAGTGTATCTAGTACAGTCATGATCAATATCCTTATATGGGGTGTCATGTGTATAGTGAAGCTTTCTGTAAAGGTATTCTTTATAACTTATATTTAAAACTAAGTAGCATAACAATTCTTTTCTTACTCTCTCCTTTTTTTTTTCCCTAAACTAACTTTTCTACCATCTAAATTTTTCTTCTCCCTTTTTAAATTTCCTTCCCTCCTTTTTTTTAAATTAGAGAGGCTAAATAAAACAAATAAATATAATAAAGAAATTGAAAAAGAAATATATCCCAAAATCTTTCAATAGCTTAGGAAGGTACATAATTGAAGAATGGCCAAATGGCTCAAAAGTGTAATTTTACAAAAATGGGTCCAAAAGTTTAATTCCCCCTAAACCTGGGTTTAAAGTGTAATTTTGTCGGACATCTGGGTAAAATTGTAATTGTTTCCAAAAATTTGGGTCAAAGTGCAATTTTTTCCCAAACTTTGTGCAACACCTCACTTTTATATATATATTAATAGGATCATTTTAACGTCTGTGAATCACTAACGCCAGGTTTCCGTCCTGGGAAAAGACAGGGAATTTTTTTTTTTTCCTTTAACATTAGAATCTGTTGATCAAATATTTCAAAGCTTCAGATAACTAATGAGTGATCCAATATCAACCCTGCTTTCAACTTAATCTATTATCATCTAAAATAATTTCATACTATACAATCTTATAATATTATATTAAAAATAAAGCAACACTCTTGGTTGACAGCATATACGTGCACCTGGCAATGCTCTCTTCCTTCTTCTAGAGGATACAAAATAATATTTCCATAGAGCAAGTATAGTTACTTGCCCATATATTTTGCTATACAATTTACAGAATTATAACAGGTATCTCTGCTCTTCAACCAGCCCATCTTCTTCTTAAATAACCTCCTTGTCCTTCTAGCTACTAGCCTTCACTGTTCATCATAAATTGGGGGGGTGAGATTCCGAAGAATCCCCGTAGTAGTAATTTCCATCAAACAAATGTGCAGATCACATAAAACATGCAAAACAAGCCATATGGAACAAAACCTTGCAAGCTAATGCAATTAAGCATTTATGCGCTATGACAGATAGACAAGCTGAATAAATAATGCGCAAATAATAGGCAATCACTGCCGCGCATATAATTGGCATCAATACCCCATGTCGGTTAGACAAGCTGAATAAGTAAAGCGCAAATAATTGGCAATCACTGCCCCATGTCTATCAGCTACACGTGATCACGGCTAAAAATCCATGCAAGGAATTAAGGATTACATGTTCTCATGCTTTTTGAATAGCAATATGGCACAAACAGACATGCAGCAATCATACACAAGTGTAAGGGAGGAAAGAATTACTACCTGGTCCGCATCCCTCCAAATCAAACCTTACCGTTCTCCTTTCTTTCTACTTCTTGGTGGGCTTGAAAAAAAACCTATCTATTAGTAAGGGTAGATCAGTGCTTGATCCAACGGTATCTCATAAATTAAATAACTCTTTAAATCCCAAATCTTCTTTAATCTCTACCTTACGTAGCAGTTGATCATCCTGGATTGTTTTTCTTATTCAACTATTCTCTTGGGAAGGCTTCCTTAAGCAAATATCTAAATTTAAGATTATTTTGCGACCAAACAGCCTTTAACTTTAATTCTCACTCAATCCTTCAATCTTTAAAACTTCCCATTATATCTATTCTATTACAACTAATCTATTTCCTTACTTCTCCATATCTTAAATTCATGAAAATCACTTCACAGCCATAACATGCTCTGTCGGGGGATTCAAGAAACAGAGACGAAGAGAAGGACCTTTAGACCGAATACACACACGCAAAACATATATATGTACACACTTATATTTATCAGTTTCGGCCACCAAGAACCAGAGCACCGACACAGCCTTTCAGATATCACATGCAGATAAGAAGATCAAAACGCAACTCGGTTTTCTTTCTTCCCAAGATCTTAGAAACCGACATCCATAGCTCCAAAAATTAAGCCCCTGTTCGGTAATCTCAAAACAGAGCATCAACCTTACATGCAAGCCCAAAAACCGATATCATACACTTCAATCGGCCATAAAACACTAGCTCACCGAAGCTTGTATCCTTTTACTCACTTTCTCTCACTACCCGTCTCTCACTGCCCCACTATCAAGCTCCCTAACCATGCAGCAAAACCCAGAAACGAAGACGGCAAAGGAACACGTGAGGCTCACCTGAATACTTGATCGGTTTGCATGCAGTTGAAGTATCTTCGATCACCAAGATTCAGCACAGCATCTTCTCCCCTGCTCTCCCTCTCTCGCTCGCGCTCTCACTCTGATTT